CTAGGATCTCATTTAGAGGGGGGGAAAAAAAACCAACAAAGAAACAATAAAAACCAAAAAATAAAACACACAATAATCCCAGTGCTGAAAAGGTATTTGCAAACTGCTGACTTACAATATCTCAAAGTGCCTAGCATTGTGTCTGGCATATAGAAAAGTAATTATTTGGATGATGATTGGCATTTATTTAGTCCCAATATGTTCCATCCCCGAACACTTTAAACAATCATGGGAAGTAGGTTCTATATTATTCCCATTCTAAAGAAGAGACAATAGAGGCACAGGGAAGCAAGGCAACTTATTCAAGATAAAGATTTGAACTGGGGAAGTCTCTGCAATGATTCTGAATCAGAATCTGAAACTTTCACCCTGGAATCTGGCCTAGGACCCCCTTGGCCCTTTGGCTTCCTGACCCAGCTACTCCTGGGCCAGGATCAGCATTTCTGTCTCTGACTTCCTGCTAGCTCCCTGTCCCCCTGTGTCCCTACCATCCTACCCTAGCCCGTAAGCTTCTCACATCCAGTTGATGGTACAGGTCCCCTCTGTCCCCTCATTTTCAGGCCTCCCTCCATAGGCCTGGAGGACTTGGCGAGACGGAAGTGTGACCAAATTGACCCTCATCCTCTGTGGCCTTTGCCAGCATCTGAGATGCTTTCCCTTCTCTCCAGGCATTGCTCTGGGGGAACATTGCACCTTGCTGCACCTAGGGACTTGTGACTCCCTTGCACCCTGTACCTGAGCTTCTGTACTTGTGTACACGAGGTTCGTCTACTCTCACCCCAGCTACACTCTCCTTCCTGCTAGCAAAATGCTGCTCTTCCTTCTTGGCCATGGGGCTCCAAGCTCACCTGCTGAGCCTTGTCCTCCTGGCCCCCACTCACCCTGCAATGGCCTCAACTTCGGCCCTTCATGTGGCAGTGCTGCTCGGAGGGGACTGTCATGCAAGTGGGGCTGCAGAAGAGAGTGAAGGGCGGTACCCAGGGACAGCCCTGCTTGGGGCTGCAGGGCCTCTGGCACCTGCAGGCTGCATCCGGCATCCTCTTACCTGTAGGACAGGATGTAGCCGGCGGACCGGTCACTGAGGCGAATGAGGAAGGACCCAAGAGCTTTGTCACACAGCAGTTGCTCTGTCTGCCTGGGAGGGGATGTGCTGTTAGCTGGGGCCTGGGCCCCACCACTGCCTGGCACCCAATTTAGGCCTGCTCAGACCCCAGCCATGCCCTCAGCCCAGACCCAGCACCGACAGCCCATCAACTCTGCCAGAGGTCGCCCTGCCCTCTATCACGACAGGGTCTGTGGCCTCTCATGGCTTAGTCTGTATCCTCTGGGCCCCTTCCCCAAGGGGAAGGACAAGGCTGGGCTGCTCCAGGCTGCCCTCCATCCCGGTAAGCACAGACACAGAAGCATAGCCCGGCAGCCACTGCCTCTATATCCACACTCCAGCTCTTTGCCTGGGCCATGTCCTCCCTGTCCATAAGAGCCCACTGTCACCTCAGGGCTGGCAGCTGTCTTCCGATGCTTTGAGGTGGGGACCTGGGCTGGCTGGAGTCCCTGGTGGGGATACAGCAGCAGCCTAGGCTTGTTGGAACAAATTCACGTCCCCGTCTGGGGTAGACTGGGGCTCTGAGGCCACAAGAACCTTTCTGCTTCCCAACTGCATCTCACCAGCAGGCACACAGTGCAGACTCCAGCCCCCACTTTATACCCAACAGCTATGGAACAAGAATGAATCCACACACTGCCAGTTCTTTTAGGTTGGGGAAATCCTGTCCCAGGGACCCCTGAGCAGCTACAGATATTTCTAGCTGTTACAAACAATTTTGGAGTCATGGGAAATTTCAGCTGTCTTCTGGCTGGGCAGAGCATGGGCCAGATACTCGCTCACCAACTGCTGAACCCAGTGTCTCCTCTACACAGGACCAGAGGTATCATTTGCAGGGCTGATGCCCAATGAACTCACGGCCCCTTGCTCAAAAAATTATTCAGAATTTCCCTGTTGGGCTAGCAGAGTGTGGCGCCAGGCGTGGGTCCCTCCTGAGTGCAGTGCCCAAGTCACCGCACATAGCTGTCCACAGAGCTGACCCTGGCTCCGTGCCTGTGTGGTGCTGGGCCCTGTGACTGGCTGTGTTCCTCCTTCTTTCTCTAGTGCTTTGGCAAGCAGAAGGCCCAGCACTCTGAAAAGCAAACCCCGCAGCTTGGCCCTTATCCCTGGGGTAAGTAAGCATCCACATTTTCTGGGACAGTCCCCTCTGTAACGACTCTCTTAGCCCAGTTTCCGGCAGTGTCCCACTGGGTGATGAATGATGCAACCCCTCATTGTCCATCAGGGTTTTCGGAGCTGGTCTGAACGCCCCCACCCAGTCTCTTTCTGTCCTTGGACAGCCAGGCAGCCCAGCTACCCTGGGCCCGAATGGGAGAGGTGCTGTCCCTGCCCTCCCGGTAGGAGTTGCCCTCCAGGACGCAGAGCCTTCCATCTGCTCCCTGACCTGTGCCTCCCCCACCCCACCTAGCACAGGGAGAGGACAAGACCAGCTATCCTGGGGTCCCCAGCCAGGCTCTCAGCCGCCCTGGGCTGTGGGCCATGCTGGCTCTGGGGACAGCAGCCTTACTTGCGGGTGACGAATCCGTGAAACCAAGGGGGCAGGGCCCCGTTCTGCAGGATGGAAGGGGCCTGTGTCTCCATGAACCATTTCAGGGCCAGCTCCTGGAGCTCAGTGAGGGCCTGGCTGTCCCCAGGCCCCCTCTCTGGACCAGGCTGCTCCAGGCTGCCCTCCATCCCAGTGAGCACAGACGCACAAGCATAGCCCCGCAGCCGCTGCCTCTATATCTGCACTCCAGCTCATTTGCCTGGACTGTGCCCTCCCCGTGCCACAGCTATAGTAGCCCATTGTCACCTCGGGGCTGGCAGCTACGTCTTCCTGATGATTTGGGGTGGGGACCTGGGCTGGCTGGAATCCCTGGTGGGGACATAGCAGCAGCTCTAGATGGGAGGACGCCATTGTTTCCCGGCCAGTGGCTGAGCTACCTTAGCAGGTCTGGCTTCCTCCCCAAACTCTGGTCTTATAGAGCAAAGCCAGACTGTGGCTACAGCCCATAGCACTGTGCCCGCTACCAAAGCATGGGTATGGATTCAACGCATGCCCCCTCACAGAGGCATTTTGGTGGGGATGTTCTGAGCTGATTAATTCCTCCTTTCACTTGAGACCCCCTGAGGCCAACATTGCTCATGTAAATCGGAACACAAAGCATGATGTCACTACCTCAGAGCTATTGTGACAAATCCTATCTCCACACAGTTTATTTCCACTTCCCTTGAATATATTTTATCTTGTGCACTTGAAAAATTTATTCTGAGATGTCTATAGGCTTCACCACATTCCCAAGAGCTTCATAGCACAGAAAAGGTGGAGAATGTAGGGTCCAGTCCAGAGTTGGTCTGTGGCCAAAGCGAGGCCTAGAAGTATTCAAATACAAAGAAATGTGGCTCTGCGATTTTCCGTGACACGTTCTCTCTCCACCTGTCTTAGCTTGTGTGTTTATGGGCAGAACCTGGTCATTTTCATAAGAAGATAAAGGCTTTGTGTATAGAAGGGGGCAGAGCCCAGGGTGGCTGTGGGCCAGGGTGGAGATTCTGAAATCAGGCAAATAAGGGGGAGTCTATATTTATACACAAGGGAAGTAGTGACCTGGAAAGGGGCGGGGTACAGTCTGGGAACTGGATGAGCTCTGTGAAAGCCTGGCGTGGGGTAGGAAAAGATCTTCCTGGACAATACCCTGAATCTCGTTGTTCAGTTCCTTGTCCTTGGTCACACACTCAGCGCTGGCACTAGGGATAGAGTGGATGCTGGAGCAGCTCTGCCCTCTGCCTCTGCCCCCAAGGTGTGGGGAATGGAGCGACCTGACTATGGCCGTCTGGCCCCCACTTTGTCAGCTCTACTTCCTCTTTCTCTCTCTCTTTCTTTTCTTTCTTTCTTTCTTTCTTTCTTTCTTTCTTTCTTTCTTTCTTTCTTTCTTTTCTTTCTTTCTTCTTTTTCTTTTCTTAAGACAGGTTCTCACCATGTAGTTCAGGCTGGCCTCAAACTTGTGGAGCAAATGGAAACAAAGCTTTTGTAAATAAGGAGGGGAAGAGGAGTCGAAGGAAGGGTAAAGGAATGGGAAAGTTATAGCATGTACAGGTACATATTCCCTATGATGAATGTGATCATATGTATACCTAAAATGTACCAATGAAAATAATTTTCTTTGAAAAAAATCTTGTGGAGCTCCTCCTGCCTCAGCATCCTGAGTGCTGGTATTACAGGTAAGTGCCACCATACCCAGCCTATTTGTTTTTCCTTTCTTTTTTTAAAAATTTTTTTTGTTCTTTCTTTTTTTTTCTTATGCTAAATGGTTTATTTCACAAAGGATAGAATTTTACAAAGGATACCTAAAAATACCAGATGAAGTGAGGCACAGGGTAAGATATAGAAGAGGCATGGTGCTTCCATGCCCTATCCAGGTGTGCTACTCTCCAAGAACCTCAGCTATCCAGAAGTTCTGCAAGCCTTGTCTTTTTAGGTTTTTATGGAGGCGCCATTATATTGGCCCGACTGATTATATCACTGGCCAGTGTCATCAATTTAACTTTCAGATCTTCTGCATTCTCCAGAAGTTAGGGGGTATGACTGAAAAAATCTACTTCTTTCTTGAGCCAGTGCAGTGGAGACTCTGCACAGGCCTTGGTGCTGTGGGTAGCCAGCTCCCGGGTGGAATGCCTGTGGGCTCCTCAGCAAGTGCCTGTCCTGAGCTTGTTATGGTTACTGACACGACATTCCCACAGTCTTTGTGAACAGGACTTTGTTCCAAGAACCTGGGGAGTAGAGAATGAGGAATCCAATGGGTTTTGCCCCAGATGGCTCACTTCAGATGTTAGTAAGAATTGCCTTCTCAGTATTCTATAGCTGTGATGAGGAGGAGGCCAAGGAGAGAAAACAAAGAGACAGAAAAAGCAGCTGCTTTTGCTGCAGCACTAAAAGAAATAGATCCTAAGTCTGATTCTCAGGGCCCCAAGAAGAACTCCACGACTACATTCATCTACTACCACTGTTAAAAAGCCAGGCCACGTCAAGAGGAACTGCCCTAAAAGCCCCATGGGCCATGCCCTGAATGCAAAGGTGACCACTGGAGATTGGTCTGCTTTCTGAAGCAGAGGCCCCAGAGCTCAGACCCATCCTACCAGTTAGTCTAACAGGAATGAGGGGGCCCGGGGGCATACTCTGCCTTCTCCCTCTGGCCAGACCATCATCTCCATGGAGGAGCCCTGGGTAATCATGACTATAGATGAAAAAGAAAACAGCCTGTTGCTAGACACAGGTGCAAGTCTCTCGGTCCTTCTTTTCAATCCTGACCTTCCTTCCAGCCGTCACACCTCTGTGAAAGGAATCTCTGGTGAGGAGGTAATACGCTATTTTTCACAACCCTTAGGCTGTAACTAGTTGTTAGATCTTTCTTGCATATCTCTGTCTTCCTGAGAAACCACTTTGAAGATACCACCATGTATTACAGAGGCCTTTGATATTTTCCTACTAATCTGTCCATAACTCTGTAATGTTTGTATTATTCCTGTGGCATTTTGTAAATGGATGTATGTTTATTACTATGGGTTTCCTACAAAAAACATTGAGAATAGTCAATGAATATTCAGTTGGTCACTCATGTATAGCTCTATTTATTTTCTTTAGAAACCACTTTGAAGATACCAAAGTATAGTACAACAACCATTAATAACTTACTTCTGTCTGTAACTCACTATTATTTGTCTATTTGTTTTCCTGAGAAACTATCTTGTAGATAACAATATGTAAAACAACAACCATTGATAATTTTCTACCACTTTGTCTGTAATTTGGTAAGCCCCCCCCATTACTATGTTACCCTTTTTTTACTCTTTAAAATAATGATGAAAAAAAAGTTCACTGAATTACTATAAAAAAAAAAAAGAGAATGAACAATACAGTTTCTTTTGTGCCTGGAACAGTGCTTGACACAAGTAGATTTTGAAACTGTCATTCCCTTAGGTGACTCATCCACATGGTTTTTAAAAATATAAAATATCAAAAAGGTATTAATAAAATATTTTCTCTCTAAGCATCAAGCCCATCCATCCAGTTTTGACCTCATTTCGTTTCCACTCATAGCCATACTTGTTCCTTGAATGTCCAAGTATGTGTGTTCCTATTTTCCCCCTCCCACCACTTTTTTTTTTCTTTTTTTTGACACAGGATGTCACTCTTATTGCCCACGCTGGCCCCAACTCCCATGTTCAAGTGATCCTCCTGCCTCAGCCTCCCAAGTAGCTGGAATCAGAGGTGCACAGTGCTGCCCGCCCATAAAAGGTAGAGTAGTGAACAGTGTTCTACCCCTCCTCTTGTAAAATAATTAACACATCTCACATCTTGCACAAGAGTACAGAGGGTGCCAGTCTTACTTTTACAGCTGCATAGAATCCCATCGCATGGATGCATTATCATTTCTGCAACCAGTCCCCCACTGATGACTGTTTGAGTTGTTTCTAGTCTTCTTTACTCAGACTTACTCTAAGCTTCCCAGAGGTGGGATCACCAATGCAAAGGGAATTTGCATCTGTCATTCTGATAGAGATGGCCCAATTGTGCTCTTTCCGGGTTGTATTGACTTGTATGCAGTGACTATTGAACGAATCCACAAATGAACAAGTGGATAATATTTTAAAGCTCAGTAAGAACCAAAGGAAGTTGGTGGTGCTAGTTCAGAAAAATTGCCGATTTTACTGTGACCCATCTATCCCCTTGAGGCCCCTCATTGAAATCATCTTGTCATCTTCAAGTACAACTGCACCAGCGGGGAGGGCTACCAGAGATGTTCTCCTTGGCCTTCTGCCCAGAAAACGCAGACTGTTGGTTTTATTCACAGGACAATGGCTGGGTGCTTCGAACTTTCCAAGGACCCTTAGAAATATCCGAGGCCTTGGGAAAACAACAGCAATACCACTGTTGTTCCCAAACACAAGTCACAAATGAAATGTCCATGCGGCTTAATGCGGCATCAGCCTCACTTAATTGCCTCCTATGTAAAAACTCTGGAGACTGCGTGATCTCACTTCACAGGCATCCTCAGACGTCGAGAGGCTGCCAAAGGATGGTTACTAGTGGTAAATGCAAGGAATTCCTCAAAGCAAAGTCACTCCCAAAGCAAAACAAAACAAAAAGAGTCCTTTCAAAAAAGTTTAAAACAAAAAACACACGTGTTTTTAATTCAAGGTGTGGCCACGTCATTTAAAAATATGTAGAGGGAGAGTCTGCCTTCACATCCCTGACTTCATCATCAGCTGATCCAACTAATCATGAATTGAAGGGTCAGGGATATAGCTCAGCGGCACAGTGCCTGCCTGGCAAGCTCAAGGTCATGAGTTCGATTCCTGGTACCTACCTATCTAAATAAATAAATAATTAAATATGACTTGAGAACAAGAGGGAAAAAATTGTGTCCACACTGAACATGTACAGACTTATTTGTGGTCTTTATTTCCTAAACAGTATCATAACAAATGACGTAGAATGAACAGAATGGTAGGTATCATAAGTGATCTAGGAATGACTTATGGTATGTAGGAGGTGAGCAGGTCACACACAAGCATGGTGCCATTTCACAAAAGGGATGTGAGAACTTTCAGATTCAGACACCTGAGGGGGCCTGGGAACCCCTGCCCAGGGGGCACTGAAGAACACCTGGATTGATACCCAATAAAATAGGAATTCAAAAGTAAAGGGGCCTTGGGCCTAGGTTATGTGGTCTTAACATTGCCAGCTCTACTGCCCCATTCATGCTCATCTTGGGTGTCCTGGGCCTGCAGCTCCCAGGCACACTCAGACCTCTACCTGTCTATGCCTTCATCCCCCAGTTGCAGGTCTGGGAGCTTGGCCAGCACCTCGGATACTTGCCCTCTTGGAAAGAGAACCGCCAAGCTATCAGATTTGCCTGATGATTTGGCAGGGAAATGAGGCCCATTGGTAGCCAGACTTCATGAATGGAGCCCCTAAGCCTGGTGAGTCTCTTTCCTGTGGAGCTCCCTTCCCTCCTAGACCTCCCACAGCAGGACCCAGGCCCTGTGCCCACATGAACTCTCAGCATCTCTTGGCACCAGTGGTGGGTGTGGGCAGGGAGGTTTGTGGAGTGATCAGCTGCACGCTGAGATTCCACAGTATCCAGGGCCAGGCCAAGGTTTGGCTTCATCTGTTTGTGGGAACCCACAGCAGTGCCAGACGGTGTTATTATGCCCCATCTGCAGATAAAGAAGCGGGTGCCCCTGATCCTCCCCAGTACCCTAGGATGTAGGCTGCAAATGGCCTTGCAGAGCCATGGCTCAGGAAGCCTGTTTCCTGGTTAGGGCTCCTGTGGTCAAAGCATTCCTGCTGTGAGGGCTACCTTGTCCTTCCGGGCCCTGACTCTCCAGTGCCCCATCAGGCTTCTTCCTTCATGTGTGCTTTGGGCTCCATGAGGCCCTGCCAGGTGTGTGTTGTGCCCCCGCCCCACCAGCGGGCACATCCCTGCCTTTCTGCCTTGGAGATGAAAGACTCCATCTGTGCCTTGGTGGTGCGGTGGTGGTGGTGGTGGTGGTGAGGGTAATGGGCCCCCATCAGGACGTAGGGAGGAAGTAAATACGTTACCCACAGGAGCAGTGCTTTGACTAACTTTAGTGGGCAGCTGAGCCCATGGATGGAGTAGGGAAGGAGGAGGAGAAGGGAACTTTGGTTGTGACATCTGGGAATATTAAGAGGGCTCTGAGTATGAAGACATGAAGGGTGGAGCCTCTGCTGGCCTGAGGAGCTGTGGAAGGATGACCTGGGCCCTCACAGTTAGGGTTTATACCACTGTTACATTCAGAGCAGGCGGGAGGAGGCCCTGGAGATCACATAGCCATTCAGCCCCTTACATAGGTGGGAAACTGGGACCTAGAGAAGGCAAAAAGGCACCCAGATCACACAGCATTCATATGGCCCAGGACTTAAGGTTGACATCTTGGTGGCTCTGTCTCCCTGGGGCCTGGTAGATGTAGAGGCAGCCCCCTGCCTGGGTGCTTTTTCCTGGCCTCTGGTTGCACCCCATACTCTCTGAGGAAATGATCTAGGATGAGTCAGGCACTGGCTCTGTTTTCCCCCAGGGGTTTGCCCAGAGGTTGGCCACGTGGGAGCAAGTTCACTGCCCCGATTTTCCTTTTTCAGCAGGCAGCAGCAACTTCCTCCCTGGTTGGCAACTTCCCTCTGGTCACTGGGTTCCTGGGAGGCTGGAGGAGGCAGGGGCTGGTGTGGCACACAGGGAAGGTCCTTGGTCACCCAAATGCCTGTCCAGACACACAGGCCATATGAAGCTAGTACCTGGCCACAGGATGTTGGTGTTTAATCCACAGGACTGCAATGCCTTTGCTATGGTCTAGGTGTTTGTCTCCTCCTAACCTCCTGAGTCCTATGTTACGGTGTTCAGAGGCAGGGCCTTGGGAGCTAATTAGGTAATTAACAGAGGCTGTGAGCGGCCCTCATCTGCTGGACTGCAGCTTTCTAGGAGGAGGAGAGACATGAGCTGATACTCTCTGTCTTGCCATGTGATGCCTTGGCTGCCTGACTTTGAACTTCAAAACTGTGAGCCTAATAAACCTTTATTCTTTAGAAATTACCCAGCCCATGGCATTCAGTTACAGCAACAGCAGAGGGCTTAAGACATCATTTAAGGCCTCTAAGGAATGAGGAGTGCCCAGAGATAGCTCCCTCTGAATGAAAGGCCGCCATCCTCATGCCTAGCAGCCTTTGCCTCCACGTGACACCCCACACCCACAGGGCTTGGTTCTGTGCTCTGGTCCCCCAGGCCATGTCCACTCCCTTCTCACAACTCATCAACAGAGCTAGAATGGCCCAGGCTCACTGCTGCCTGTGGCCTCTGCCCCTCAGCATGCAGACCCACTCCTTCCCAGCTTCCCCTTTCCAGTGTATTTCAAAGGTGAACCCCAACTTGACTGCTACCCCACAGGTCAATGAGTCATGCCCCTTTTGCCAGGAAGGGAGTGGGAGAGAGCGAAGTGGCCAGCATCCTTGCTGCAGCTGCCACAGCCAGAACCCTGTGGCCCCAGGACAGGGATGCTCCAGGCAGTCAGCTACAGGTGGCTGGTGGGCTGGGTGAGGTCCTGCACCTGCTTTTCCCACCTGTCTGGCCCCAAACAGGCAGCCTCACTGGTGTCCTTGTTTACCTTGGAAAGCTGGGTTTCTGCTTGTGTTTTCTAGAGTGTGTGTCAAATATGCAAACCCAGAAAGGTGAGTGAAGTACTTGATTTGGCCTTCTCACCAGTGTACCTACCAGCTTCCTTTTCTTCTTTGGATAAAGTGAATTCTGGCACCATGGTTCCCTTTACCTGGAATGCTGTTCCTCCCTTCATGGCTGGTCACAGTGGTTCAGGGCATGTGCTTGGACCTGTGCTCTGAGCCACCCTGGGAGATGATTCTCTCCTCTTTATTGCCTGATATCAGCATCTGCCTCTGAGGTTGTTAGAAAGTTTGCCTGGGTGAACACAGAAAGCATAGTGATAAGTACTAGTTAGGAAGTGATCAATATTTAAATGGCATCACAGCATTTATACAATGTGGCATCATTTATTTTAGTGTTTTTATCTATCACTTCACTCCTTTACTAGAAGACAATCTCCCCAGGGCAGGGAAATGACTGGTTGTACCCCTCCATCTGCTGGTGCTTGGAACCCCCTACCTGGCACACAGAAAGCGCTCCATGAATATTTGTTTAACTCCAGGAAGGACTGAGGCGTGGAGAGGCGGACTGCTTAGATTTTCATTCATGAACTCTGCAAATATTTACCGAGCTCCCACTCACTACCAGGCAACAGGCCCTCTCGGTTTCACAATGCTGGCCCATGGCTCTGGCAGGGCGGAGACTGACCCACGGAGGCATCATTCAGCATGCAGTGCAGTTTCGCGTGGACATGCCGTGGGTTCTGAGTCACGCATCCTCCCATGTGACATACCTCACGGAGAAGCAGAAAGCCGCCTCCCCTGGCAGGGCGGGAAGCTAGAGCCTTCCAAGGGAAGGTCGGCCCGATCCCAGGGCCCTCCCGGGTGGGGTCAGGGTCCCGGCTACAAGTCCGAGGGGCAGGGCTGTGGCGAGACGAAGAGCCCCCAGGGGCGTGAGGCAACGGCCGGGGCGGGACTACAACCCGCAGGGGACAAGGTGGGACTGCAAGCACCAGGGAGGGGAGGCGGGGCGGGGCGGAGGCGGGG